TCAAGATTTTCAGACAAAAATGAAAACCCGTGTCTGAGATTTTTGAAACATTGGTTGCGTGTCTCTTGCTAGGCACTGCCCCTTATCTACCCTAGGGGGTGTATCAATTTATATATACATTATATATAGAAGTTATAGGCTAGATAGGGTTTGCATTCTTAGAGGGTACAAAACCAACCTTATATTTCATGTACTGCTTTGTTCTAGTCACTTAGCTACTTTGAGAAAAGGAGGTCTAGTTAAGTGGCTCTATGTAAGGAATCCGTTGATATAAACGTAGTAACCATCTGACAAGAAATTGTGTGAAATTGAGGCTTCTGAATCACGCAACAAGATCCATGACGACATTGGTAACTTTATTTGCTTGCAAATGACCGCCGACAGTAGCTACGCATGTAAGCTTAAGCTTAAGTGCAGTAACTTTGAGTGTAACTATGATGTTTCTCGTGTACATTGCCAAACTTTAATGCAGTGCACGGTGTTGTGGGCTGGGGTTGGGGACCTCAAGTTTCTGTTACAAGCCTATACCTGTCGAGGCGCGCATGCATTCGAGGTTGAGTGGCATGAGGGCCCCATCTTTTGTCGACCCACCGCATCCAAAGGTACAAGATCCTCAATTGTCCTAAACCGCACCGTAACTCTCTGTGACGTCGTTCGCCTTCACCTTACGCGCCCTAACCAAAACCACAAGCCAGGGCCAGGGTGTGCCGGGGGTGGGTGCTGCCGGTTTGCTGTGATCCGCTGCGTGATGAATTCACGACTCGTGCAAACCCGCCACTCACATAACAGCCCCGCTTGGTCGGGTCGCGGAGAAATTGCCGACGCGAGCAAATCCTCAGTGTGATTATAGCCTTGTAGCAGCACCAACAGCAAATTTCCATTCCATTCGCGTTGTCGTCTCGCCTCACCAGCCCACAAGGCCCAGATTCAAGGTCTCTTCGCGAGCTGAGAGCATCACAGCAGCACACCAGCAGCAGCAAGCACCCCCTTCCTTCCACTTGTTTCTGCTTGGCGTTGCTGGCTGGCTGGCCGGCACCACTACTGGTAGGTAGCACAGCACGCACGCACCGATGCCGCGTCGTGTAACAAACCAACTCTGCCATTGTCAAGCTTTGCATTGCCATCCTTTCCCGCATCACAAAAACTCGCGAGGAGCTCTCGAAGGGTGTTTGTCATCACAATTTGAGCGACGCTCACGACGAGTCGGACTCAGCTGCTCTAGCGGTGCTAGGGTCGCCGATTGTCAGCTCGTATCGACGCCCATTTCCCCCAAAGAAAGCAATATTATTATTAGGGTTACAAGGAGTGCCACTTGCCGTGCCGTTGTTCGGGAATTGTCACGATGATCGGCCCGTCGCCCGCGCGCAGCCTGTCAAACGGCGGGGAATTCCCGTTGCCGCAAGCACCTTTCGTGTCGACTAAAAATTGCCCGTCCGACGGCGAGTCGCCACTGCCGCCGCAAACGCCCTTGTCCACTCCAGTGATTCGAGAGCCGCCGCAGGTTGCGCTGAAGGTAGAAACCAGTGTTGGACGGGATTGTTATGATAAGACGAGTATTACGGGTACTATCCAGACAGTGTTCAGCTCCTTAGTGTCCATACCGCAACTCAAATCTCGAGATACGATAATTTTCTTGGCGCGCTGTGGGCTCCTGCCGCTCGGATTATTTCTCGTTGTGGCTTTTCACTATTTCAAGGCCTCTGCCACGTGGCACTCGCCCATTGAGTGGTTTGATGTAAATAGCCGGAGTGTGGATTCCCGCGTTTTCGTTCCTGGTCCTACGAGCGTTTACGAGCGCGGTTTTGCGGTCCTGAGCTCGTTTCAGCGAGAAAATCGACTGCCGTTCGCGAAAGTTGCGACGTTCAACTTCGAGATGAATGTTACAGGTTACAGCTTCGCCGGTAACAGCCTTATCGAGTTACCCGTTCCGCACGTTCCAGAGTCGCTGAATTGGAGCCACGCATACCCCGAATGGGTGAACGAATCGCGCTCTTCCTGCCCGAAAATTCCAGAGCCGAGCGACCCGGATTGGCTGGGCCACATCGACGCGATTGTCGCACGAGTGCCCTGCGACGAGCCGAGCGATTCCTGGGCGAAGGATATTCGGTGGCTGCATCGCCTTCTGACGGTCGCAAGATTTGTCATCAAGGTAAGGATGATCGCTTCTAAAACGTTTGCAGAGTTGACAAGATATTATTGCGCTTGATTTGTTTTTGTTTTTGTTTTTTTTTTTTTTTTTTTTTTTTTTTTTTGTCACCCACTCTAATTCTCTGCGACAGCTGCGGCTCCTATGCTTTCGGGGCCGTGATTCCCCTGCTGGTAACCGCACATGGTTACCATTCGCGTTTCTCTCCTCGCGCTGCCCTCTTCCCCCCAATCGATTCCCTTGGAACAGTCTAACCGCCCGTGGTTACCAGTGGTGCTTCTCTCCGCGTGCCGCCCGCCGCCCAACCTCTTCCACTGCTCGCGCCTCGTGAGGCGGGAGGGGGGCGTGTGGCTCTACAACCTGACGGCCAATGACATGCTGACACGTGCGCAGCCCCTGGGATCATGCGCCATGGCTCGACCAATCAACGCCACGGTGACAGGTAGTATTAGGCAAAAAAGGGATAGCGTTAGAGTCAGAACTTCTGAAGTATCAGGGTTAAAGGAACAAAAGATAGTATATAACCCTAGAGTGTTTTTCTCTATTGACCAGCTTTTATTTATATTCCCGGCCGCTTGAGTGTATTCCTCCCTTCCGTTCACACCCCTGTTCATCCCCCTTTCCTCCAGCCAGCCAGCGCATCGCGTATGCTACAGTGCTACACTCGTCTGAGCGTTATGTGTGCGGCGCAATAGTACTGGGGCACAGCATAAGGAGGACGGGGAGCACGGCTGAGATGGTTGTGCTTGTATCGAAGGAGATTACAGAGGAGAGCAGGCGAGGACTGAGGGAGGCTGGGTGGCGGGTGAAGGAGATTGAGAGGATAAGAAACCCCAACGCAGAGAAGGGGACTTATAACGAGTGGAACTACAGGTATGTGTGCTTATGAACGAGTCAGATGCCCTTCCGTCTTTCAAATTCCGGATTCCAATAACTCATGTGTTTTGTTGACTCCATTAAGAGTGGTTGACCTCTGTTGACTCTTCCCTCCCTCCCTTCCTCCCCCAGCAAGCTGCGGCTGTGGCAGCAGGTGGAGTACGCCAGGCTGGTCTTCGTTGACTCGGATCTGCTCCTGTTGACCAGCGTTGACTTCCTCTTCACATTCCCCGAGATCTCGGCTCGCGGAAACGACGGCTCAGATTTCAACTCGGGCGTGATAGTCTTGGAGCCATCGGATTGCACGTTCCAACTGCTGATGGAAAATTTGAGGAGAGTGCGGTCAGCCAATGGAGGAGACCAGGTGGGTTGCATTCTTCGCTTTTTTTCTTTCACTCGCTCTCTCTCTCCACCTGCCTTTTTTAATCTGAGGAGCATCTTCCCTGTGCTCCCCCCCCACCCCCCCCCCCCCCTCTCGACCAGTGCTACCGTATTTGGACAATGCGTTCACGTGGTAGCACGGGTTACCGGAATCCGTAAACCCTCCTGCCCCCCCCTTTCTCGACCAGTGCTATTTGGACAACGCGTTCACGTGGTAGCACGGGTTACCGGAATCCGTCAACCCTCCCTCCCCACCCTCCTCCCCACCCCCCTCCCCAGTGACCAATCTCCCCCGTTCTCTCCCTCTCCCGTCATTTACCTGTCATCCCTCCGTGCCCAGGGCTATTTGAACAACGTGTTCACCTGGTGGCACCGCTTACCAGAGTCTATCAACATGCTTAAACCAGTCTGGACCACCGACCCTGTAAAGAGGAAAGCTGCCCTCGCTATAAGGAACAGGTGGTTTTCAGAAGACCCCTCGGAAATTCATGCAATACACTACCTCGGTATAAAGCCCTGGTTGTGTTACCGCGAGTTTGACTGTAACGAGCTGGACGCAGCTCATCGCTTATTTACAAACGAGGCTGCTCATAAGAGGTGGTGGAGTGTACACGATTCGCTGCCCGAACCCCTGAAGCAGTTCTGCTGGTTACCTGATGATGCAAAGAAGAAGCTAAAGAAGCGGATAGAGCTTTCAAACGCAACTACACTCCTAAACTGAGTGGAGCTTGAGACGAGATGGGCATTGAGCAGTATTTCTATATCGGGTCATATTTATAAGCTATATTGATAGTGTTGCTTGCTGCTATCGTTGATTATATTATTTTCCGTGAGATGAGAAAAGTACTCAAATTTGTCTTGTACCGTAGTAAGTATGCGGTGCAAGCAGGTGTACAATTCCATGGGTGAACTAGGCACGGAGGGGAAGTAAAACTACCGCCTACCGTAACCTGTATTGAGTGTTTACATACAGTAGTCCCCTGGAACAACCCCAAAGTACAGCAGTGCTTTAAGAGTCGGCTCAAAAGTTATCTCCTTTCATTCGGGGATAACCTCAGACCCACACCGCAGCACAGATTCACCTGGAGCACAGTTTCACCTGGAGCACAGATTCACCTGGAGCACAGATTCACCTGGAGCACAGATTCACCTGGAGCACAGATTCACCTGGAGCACAGATTCACCTGGATTTCTAAGCCGAGCTCCCTCCCTCTCCACATTCCCCCATCTCTCCGCCCCCTCACCTCCCCTTCATTCTCCTTCCCTTCCCTGTCTGCCCTCCCCTCCATTCCCCGTTCATGTAGAAATAACCCGAGAATGGGACCGCATCAAAGAGCACTGAACTTCCCCTCGAGCTTCCACCTCCCCCCGTCCGCTCCCCATCTCCTCCCCCCATCTCCTTCCCCCATCTCCTCCCCCCATCTCCCCCACCCCCATCTCCTCCCCACAACTTCTCCCCCCGTCTCCTCCCCCCATTTCCACCACATTAGGGAATGACCCCATAATGCATCACAAAGCCGCAGCAGTAATCCCCTGCCGAGCTCCTCTACCATCCAGCTCCCCCGTGACTTCTTCATATCCCCCTCTAACCTCGCCTGCCCCTGCCCCTGCCAACTCCCCCTCTGTCACCTGGGAATCACTTCACACTGCACGCCAGTCCCACAGAAATTCACAGTCACCCCATCGCCAGCGCTCATGGGAGTTCCCCCTGTTGTCCCCCTCCACACACGCTCACTTCTGGTGCTCGTGCCGACACCATCCCATGCCCACCCCATTCCCTGTCTCTTTCCCAGCCCCTATCCCCCCTTCCTCCCCGCTCTTTCACCTGGGAATCACCTCAGACTGCACGGCAGTGCTGCTCAAAGTCACAGTCGCCCCATCGCCATCGCCAGCACTCGTTGGAGTCCCACCGCTGCTACCCATATTGTCCCCCACCCCTGCTCCTCCTACCCTTCCCCCGTTTCACCTGGGAATCACTTCAGACAGCACGGCAGTGCCGCTGAAAGTCACAGTCACCCCATCACTGGCGCGTGTGAGTACCCCCCATCATTCCCCGCCGCCACAGACTGCCTCTGCTGCTGCTTGTGTTGTCCCCCAATCCCTGCCCCTCCGACCTCCCTCCTCTTTCACCTGGGAATCACTTCAGACTGCACGCCAGTCCCACTGAAGGTCACAGTCACCCCATCGCCATCGCCAGCACTCGTTGGAGTCCCACTGCTGCTGCCCGTGTTGTCCCCCACCCCTGCCTCTCCTCCTCCCCCCTCTTTCACCTGGGAATCACTTCAGACCGCACGGCAGTGCCGCTGAAAGTCACAGTCACCCCATCACCAGCACTCGTGGGAGTGCCCGCAGTCGTCCCCCTCCACACACTCCCACTGCTGCTTCCTGTGTTGTTCTCTCCATCCCCTGCCCCATCCCCTCCCCAGTTTCACCTGGGAATCACTTCAGACTGCACGGCAGTGCCGCTGAAAGTCACAGTCACCCCATCACCAGCACTCGTGGGAGTGCCCGCAGTCGTCCCCCTCCACACACTCCCACTGCTGCTGCCCGTGTTGTTCTCCCCATCCCCTCCCCCTCCCCCTCCTCCGCCTCTCCCTCCCCCCGGCCCCCCCTGCCCTCCTCTCTGCTTCCGCAGTAGATCCTCAAACCACGAATGTTCATCCTCCTCATCCTCCTCCTCCCCATCCCCTCGCTCCGCATACCCGCTCGGGCCTCCCTTGGACGCCGTGGCAGCAATCTCCGCCCAAAACTTGTCACTCGCCCGCGACTTCACTCCACTCACAGTTTCCCCCTTCTCCGCATGATACCATTCCCCATCGTCCCTCCCACCACCACCACCACCACCACCAGCTGCACCACCACCACCAGCACCGCCGCCGCTGCCGCTGCGCAAATCAGAGGAGCGGTGGTCCAGCCGGCGCCTGATGGCTTCGAGTTCCTTTAGCACTTGCTGCATGTCGGGTCGGTTCTGTGCCTGCTTGAGACTGCACCGCATCCCAAGCCGCAGAAACCACTCAAACGTCTCCTGCAACGCCTCACTATCACACAGCCCCACCTCTCCCCCCCCTCCCTTAGCACCTCCCCCTTCTCCGCCTCCGCCCCCGCTTCCCTCCCCCGCCCGCTGCTGCTCGCACATGGCTTTAAGTCTTGGGTCCATGACACTGAACACGCCGCCATGGTTGGTAATCCTATCAACCACGATTCTCCTGATGTGCTCGCCGCCCGTTACGGGGCGAAGGCCCGTGGCCAGCTCTAGGAGGACGATGCCGAAGCTGAAGACATCACTCTTCTCGGTTAAGAGATCGCACAGGAAGTACTGAGGATCGAGATAGCCCTGATGGGATGGGAGGTGGTGGAAGGAGGGGGGGTGGTGGAAAGTTAGGGGTTGGGCGCAGGCCCGTGGCCAGCTCTAGGAGGACGATGCCGACGCTGAAGACGTCACTCTTTTCTGTTAACAGGTCACAGAGAAAATATTGTCGGTTTAGGTATCCCTGATGGGAGATGAGGGAAGGGGCCGGGGGGGAAAGGGGAGGGGAAGGGTGGAAAAGTGAGGGATTGGGCGAAGGCCCGTGGCCGGCTCTAAGAGGACGATGCCGAAGCTGAAGATGTCAGGCTTCTCTGTGAGAAGGTCACACAAGGAGTACTGAGGATCGAGATAGTCCTGATGGGGGGATATGGCTGTTGGGAGAGTGGGGGTGGGGGTGAGAGTTGGCGGAATCTCCGCGGCCAGCTCAAGCAGCACGATGCTGAAGCGGAAGACGTCACTCTGTTCCGTCAGTAAATCACAGTGATAGGGTTTTGAGATTAATGAAATGAAATAAAATGAAATAATAACAAATCGCAGAAGACATACTGAGGATCGAGAAAACCCTGTTTGGAAATGGAATTGTTGGGAGGGAGGCGAGAGGGGGTGAGGGATGGTGGAAACGTTAGGGGTGAGGTGAGGTGAGGTGAGGTGAGGTGAGGTGAGGTGACGGCCAAAGCTGAATATGAAACAAGTGGCAAAAAGCGTGGCAGAAACAAGCGTGGCGATTACACACTCCCCTGCACTCACCACTGTCCCTTTGACTTGCGTCTCCAGCTTCCCCCCTACGCCTCCTCAGGCACAGCCTTGGCAAAAACAAGTGTGCCATCGGCGCACTCCCCTAAACCTGAAACCACTGACCCCGTGACTCACCACTGACCCCGTGACTCACCACTGACCCTGTGACTCACCACTGTGCCCTTGACTTGTGTCTCCAGCTTCCCCTCTGCCTCTTCAGGCACGGCCTTGGAGATGCCGAAGTCAGCCACCTTGGCTTCCAGGTCTGCTGTGATCAGGATGTTGGCCGTCTGGTAGGGGGGGGAGGGGGCAGGGGGGAGGGGGATGGAGAAGAGGGGAGGGGGAAGGGGGAAGTGGGCAAGTGGGTCTATTAGATGCCGAAGTTAGCCACCTTGGCTTCCAGGTCCGCTGTGATCAGGATTTTGGCCGTCTGGTAGGGGGCAGGGTGACAGGGGGCAGGTGGAAAGGGGCAGGGGGCAGGGGGCAGGGGGTGGGGGCCAGGGGGCAGGGGGCAGTGGGTGGGGGCCGGGGGCCAGGGGCCAGGGGGCAGGGCGCAGGGGTGATATATTCTTTAGGCCTTGAAATTACCGAAGTCAGCCAACTTGGCTTCGATGTCCGCTGTGATGAGGATGTTGGCCGTCTGGCACAAGAAGAGGGGGGTGCGATACTGGGGGGTAGGGGGGGAAGGGGGGGGGCACGGGGGCAAGCGAGGAAGGGGATGGAAGGGGAGAGGAGAGGGAATGGAGGGCGGCCGGGGGAAGGGAGGGCGGGAGGGGGAAGGGAGGGCGGGAGGGGGAAGGGAGGGCGGGAGGGGGAAGGGAGGGCGGGAGGGGGAAGGGGGGCGGGAGGGTGAAGGGAGGGCGGGAGGGGGAAGGGAGGGCGGGAGGGGGAAGGGGGGGCGGGAGGGGGAAGGGGGGCGGGAGGGTGAAGGGAGGGCGGGAGGGGGAAGGGAGGGCGGGAGGGGAAGGGGGGGCGGGAGGGTGAAGGGAGGGCGGGAGGGGGCAGGGAGATCGGCAGGGGGAAGGGAGAGCAGGAGGGTAAATGGGGAAGGGGGAGGGGGCAGGGGGGGAATAGAATTCTGGCCATGGGGAAATATAGCCTTGGACCTTGGCTTCCAGAGGATGTGATGACGATGATGATGGTTGTCTGAAGTTAAGTAGTTTAGTCTTGAGACGTCTCAAAACTGAACTACTTAACCTTCGCTAAAGGAGGATGTGGTGGCGATGATGGTTGTCTGGAGGTGGAATTGTGAGACGCCTCCAAAATAAACCCCCTATCACGTTTTGAGATGTCTCGAAATGACCCCTCCACCACGTTTTGTGGCGTCTCAAAATAAACCTTCTACCACGTTTTGAGAGACGTCTCAAAATAAACCTTCTACCACGTTTTCAGAAGTCTCAAAATAAACAATCCACCACGTTTTTAGACGTCTCAAAATAGACCTTCTACCACGTTTTGAGAGACGTCTCAAAATAAACCTTCTACCACGTTTTCCGAAGTCTTAAAATAAACAGTCCACCACGTTTTTAGATGTCTCAAAATAGACCTTCTACCACGTTTTGAGGCGTCTCAAAATAAGCCTTCTACCACGTTTTGAGACGTCTCAAAAATAAGCCCTCTGACTCGTTTTGAGACGCCTCAAAATAATACTTGTATCGCTTTTTGAGACGTCTCAAATTGATGATGATAATGATGATGATGGTTGTCCGGACGGGGAATGGGGATGAGGGGGGATGCAGAAAAGGTATGTTATCAGCACGCATGTATGTTCGTGTGCACATCCCCCCTACCGTCCACATCCCGATGGATAATTGGTAGCTTGATCTGATGGTGCAGGTGGTCCAAGCCAGGCAAATCGCACATGCATGAGCATTGAGCATGCATGTTCGCGCTCATTTCCCTAACCCAACCCCCCGTTGACATTGCAGTGGATAATCGGTGGCTTGAACTGACGTTGCGATGCAGGTACTCCAAGCCACTGGCCGGCCCACATGTGATGCGCGTTTGCATGCACACACCCATACACATGCACACATGAGCACGCATGTATGTTCACGCACACTCACCTTCACATCCCGGTGGATGATTGGCGGCTTGATCTGACGGTCCAGGCAGTCGAAGCCACTGGCTGCTCCACAGGCGACACGTGTTTGCAAGCTCACAACAAGTGTGTACGTACACACGCGCAATATACACACAGCACACCCCCTCCCTACCTTGACATCTCTGTGGATGATGGGCGGCTTGATCTGATGGTGCAGGCAGTCGAAGCCACTGGCCGCCCCACATGTGATGCTCGTTTGCATGCACACATCCACCCACACACACCCACAATCATAAACAATCACACGTGAGCAAGCATGTACGTGCGTTCACGCACCTTCACATCGCGATGAATGATGGGCCGCTTGATCTGACGGTGCAGGTAGTCGAAGCCACTGGCCGCTGCAGAGGCGAACGGATCCCATGTGCACACACATGCATTCACACAAGTGCGTACGCATGCACACAGACACACTCCCCCCTCACCTTCACATCGCGGTGGATGATGGGTGGCTTGATCTGGTGGTGCAGGTAGGCGAAGCCATTGGCTGCCCCACAGGCGATGTTAACCCGCTGACGCCACGTCAGCGGGTGCTTTGAGTCGGCTGGTGGTGGGGAAAGGAAAGGGGAAGAGGGGGGGGGGGGGGGGGAGGGGAGAGGGAGGGGGGGGTGGTGGGGGACACGGGGATGCATTATGCATGAGTATAAGCAGCCGCTGGCAGGTGAACTGGCTGTGCACAAGCGATGGCGACCCCCTGCTGCCACCACATCAGCAGCTGCTCTAAGTTGGCTGGTCATGGGGAAGGGCGAGGGAGGGGGATGGGGGATTGGTATACTTGGGAAGGCCCTAGAGCCCTCTCTCGTTGACCATAAAGAGGGGGAGTACCTGCTTCTGACACACAAACAGCAACGACTTCGTGCACCAGCACCAGCAGCAGCAGCACCAGCAGCAGCAGCAGCAGCAGCAGCAGCAGCAGCAGCAGCAGCAGCAGCAGCAGCAGCAGCAGCAGCAGCAGCAGCAGCAGCAGCAGCAGCAGCAGCAGCAGCAGCAGCAGCAGCAGCAGCAGCAGCAGCAGCACCAGCAGCTGCTGCTGCTGCGCTGTACCCCTTTCTGCATGCCTTCCAGTGTGCCCCTCTCAGTGAATTCGTGCACCAGCAGCTGCTGACCCCGCCTCTACCCACAAGCCTGTGGGCAATCAAATCCAGCCGGGACCCAACCCACTACTCCCAACCTCCCTACGTACCTCGCACGCACCATATCCTCCAGGGTGCCCCTCTCGATGTATTCGTGCACCAGCAGCTGCTCCCCTGCCTCCACACAGACGCGGATCACACGGACATCTCTGTCTGCCTGCGCTTATCACGGCAACCCACGCATCTCCCCAGCACTCACGTCGCAGCATGTCTTCCAGGGTGCCCTTCTCAATGAACTCGTACACCAGCAGCTGCTCGCCCTCCTCCACACAGAAGCCTTTCAGCTGCACCAGGTTGCGGTGGCGCACCGCTGAGAGCAGCGTGATCTCGTTGCGGAACTCCGTGCCGCACAGCTGACCGGAAACGGGAGGGGGGAATGGGAGCATGGGGGGGCGCGCGGGGGGGGAGAAGGGAGAGATGGCATGGGTAGGAGATTCGAAACCCTCTGAGAACCACGAGGTTGTATTTTGAGTCGACTCAAAATATTTTGTTGTATTTTGAGTCGACTCAAAGTACAAGGGGAGAGATGGCGTGGGTAGGAGAGGTGAAACCCTCTGAGAACCACGAGGTTACGGTGGCGCACGGCCGAGAGGAGTGTGATCGTGTTGCAAAACTCCATGCCGCACAGTTGGTGGGGAATGAGGGGAGGGGATGGGGGGACGTGGGGGGAGAGAGAGAGCGAGATGGAGACTCAGAAGCCTTTCAGCGCCACCGGGTTGCGGTGGCGCACAGCTGAGAGGCGTCTCATTTTGTTGCACAACTCCAGACAGCTGGTAGGGTGAGTCAGAGAGGCAGAACCAGACTGTAGATAGAAAACCGGAGAGGCTAAGGGGCAGAACCCCTGGCAGAAGAAAACTAAGGTAGGTTGAATTCGATCTGCCTCAAAATTCGCACCAAAATCTGCTGACTTGGATGTGGGATTACGTAGGCTTTCACTCAGTGTGCCACCTGAAACCTGAAATGCACCTGACATAACACCTGAAACCTGGTATGGACAACCCCTCTGGCCATATGCGTTCCCCTGGACCCACTTCACACATAAAAATTCCACCGGAGAATTCACCTGACAGTCCACCTGACAGTCCACCTGAAGATTCGCCTGACCTACCTTCACATGCCCCTTGGCTCGTTTCACTGCCACCACGTCCCCCGAAGCCAGCACTCCCCTGTACACCTGGTGGCGTGGAGACATGGGAGGGCCATTAATCAAGCGGATGAGAAGAAATAGAGCAAGGCATGGCAAGGTAAGGCAAGGTATGACAAGGTAAGGCAAGGCATGGCAAGGTAAGGCAAGGCATGGCAAGGTAAGGCAAGGTATGACAAGGTATGGCAAGGTATGGCAAGGTATGGCAAGGTATGGCAAGGTATGGCAAGGTATGGCAAGGTATGGCAAGGTATGGGGAAGGCATATGGGAGAACAGCTGAAGGGTGGAGCATCGACGTGCAAGCTGCCACCACATCCCCCAAGGCCAGCACTCCCCAGCGCGCTGAGTCGCGTCTCACGGTTTAAATTGAACCCATATTTGCCTGACCTTACGCCTCCCTCCCTGCTTACGTCGCTTTAAAGGTGTAACTGCGACCTGCCCTGCCTCCCAGGTATACCTGTCCATACCCAGCCCCCCTCCCCCCAGTCACACCTGTCCGTATCCGCCCTCCCCCAGCAGCGTCTTGAACCCCTGGGTGGCGTCCTCTATCTCCTTGAGCTTGCACCGATGCACTCCCAGCCTCTGCAGGCCCTCGATCGCCTTGTAGTCCTCCGGGGTCCACAGGTCTGCCACAGAGGGAGACGAGGGGATTGGGGAGAGAGGCGACAGAGGGGAGGGGAGGGAACACATGTGCCTTGACCTTCACCGATGCACCCCAAGCCCAAGCCTCTGCAGGCCCTTAATAGCCTTGTAGTCCTCCGGGGTCCACATGTATGATGTGTGGAAGAGGAAAAGAGAATGAAAGAGAGAGGAAGTGAGAGAGATTGTGAGAGAAAACGTGAGAGAGAGGGTCAAATAGTGCCTCCCCTTGAGCTTGCACCAATGCACTCCGAGCCTCTGCAGGCCCTCGATCGCCTTGTAGTCCTCCAAGGTCCACAGGCCTGGTGTTACCGGAAACACAAGGGAGGGCAGGGGAGGGGTAGGGAGGTGAGAGGAGGGGAGAGGAGGGGAGGGGAGAGGAGTTGGAAGGAGGGGAGAGGACGGGAGAGGACGGGAGAGGAGGGAGAGGAGGGGAGAGGAGGGGAGGGGAGGGGAGAGGAGAGGAGGGGAGAGGGGAGGGGAGGGGAGGGGAGGGGAGGGGAGAGGAGGGGAGAGGAGGAGAGAGGGGAGGGGAGGGGAGGGGAGAGGAGGGGAGAGGAGGAGAGGAGGGGAGAGGAGGGGAGGGGAGGGGAAGGAGAGGAGGGGAGAGGGGAGGGGAGGGGGAGGGGAGGGAGAGGAGGGGAGGAGGAGAGAGGAGGGGAGGGGAGGGGAGGGAGGGGAGAGGAGGGGAGAGGAGGGAGAGGAGGGGAGAGGAGGGGAGGGGAGGGGAGAGGAGAGGAGGGGAGAGGGGAGGGGAGGGGAGGGGAGGGGAGGGGAGAGGAGGGGAGAGGAGGAGAGAGGAGGGGAGGGGAGGGAGGGAGGGGAGGGGAGGAGAGAGGAGGCGAGGGGAGGAGGGAGAGGAGAGGGAGAGGAGGGGAGAGGAGGGGAGAGGAGGGGAGAGGAGGGGAGAGGAGGGGAAAAGGGGGGAGAAGGGTGGAGAAGAGGGGAGGGGAGGGGAAAGGAGCAGAGATGGCGTGAGCTTGAGCCGATGCACGAGCAGCTCTTCTATCGGGTTGTGACCCACACAGTTGCACCAGACTGATATGGTGCCATTTGTTCTGAGAGGGAATAAGAGAACAAAATGTTGAAAGAGGTTTCCTCAGGCGCCTGAGGATCCAGTCTGATCTGATACTGTGACCTTTGCTGCAAAAGAGGGAACATGAAAGAGTGAACAAGGGTGGACGGACGGACGGAAGTTCGGAGAGGGGAGACTGGTAACCACTGTCCTTCGCATGGCCTTTCATTCTTTTGAATAAGAGCCTCACCTTTCCTCTTGCTCATTTCTGGGAGCGACTTTTGAGTTTGACTCAGATATCAAACTCAACATAGCAAAATGACTCGCCTTTCATCTTGTTCCTCTGCAGGGAGCAACCACACCAGCAGCAGCACAATTAGCGCAAGTGCCACCACTCCCCCCACCACAATGCCCACGATCGCAGCAGTTGACATGCCGCCGCCCCCACTAGGGGCACTAGGGGGCGCAGGGGGCGAGGGGAGGGGGATCTGGTGATGTGGGGAACGGGAATGGGGAGAGTGAGAAAGGGGAGTGATAAGCAGGCTGTTAGTCGGCAGGGAATGACAGCAGGAGTGATGAGCAGGCATGTGAGAGAGCAGTGCAATCGCAGCAAGGGCCGCCACTCCCCCCACCAGTGAGGAAGGGGAGTGATATAGCAGGCGTGCTAGTCAGCAGAGCAACAACAGCAAGAGTGATGATCAGGCGTGGGAGAGAGGAAAGGAAAACAATCACTTGCTTCCCCCACTCCTCACGTGAAGCCATAGATACTTCTTTCAGATCTCATGCGCCCCATACACACCTTCCCCAGTCTTCACCTTCCCCAGTCTTTACCTGCCCATACACACCTTCTCCAGTCCTCACCTGCCCATACACACCTTCCCCAGTCCTCACCTGCCCATACACACCTTCCCCAGTCCTCACCTGCCCATACGCAGCTTCCTCAGTCCTCACCTGCCCCATACACACCTTCCCCAGTCCTCACCTGTCGCGTTTCAGATCCCCACATCTTGCCATAAAGAGGAGGACCTATGCATATTCTCACCTGGGCCATGCAAGCCTCTCCCAGTCCTCACCTGGTCCATACACACCCGTCCCCTAGTCCTCACCTGCCCCATACACACCCTCCCCTAGTCCTCACCTGGCCCATACATGCCCGCCACTGTGTAAGGCCCGAAGTCCGGCCCCAGCACCACCTTGTGCCACACAAACGAGAGTCCTTGTCACTCGCTATGGAGTGGGCTAATGTTCTCACCTGGCCCATACATAGCCTCCACTGTAAACGGCCCGAAGTCAGGCCCCAGCATCACCTTGTGCCACACAAACGCCTCTCTTATCTCCTGTGGCTGATCCGCTGGCTGCCATGCACTGCTGCCGCTGCCACTGCTGCTGGTGGTAGCGCTGCTGCTGCTGCTGCTGCTGCCACTGCTGCTGGCAGTGGTGCTGGTGTCGCTGCTGACCCTTGCGGTGGTGCTGGCAGTGGTGCTGATGGTGGCACCAGGGGTGAAGGAGTAAGTGCCGTAGGAAGAGGAAGGGGAAGAGGGTGGAGGCGGAGAGGAGGGGGGGGAGGACGAGGAGGAGGAGGAAGTGGGGGAGGAGTAAGGGGAAAGAGGGGGGGGGGAGTAAGAGGAGGAGGAGGAAGAAGACGGGGGGAAGCAGCGGGGGGGGGAGGAGGAAGCGAAGGAGGAGGAGAGAGAGGAAGAGGAGGGAGGGGGGAAGAAACGGATGGTGGTGGTGATGCTGGAAGGGGAGAGGATGGAGCCGTCCGCTGACACTATGGCGATCTGTGGAGGTCGGGGAGGGGGGGAAGGAAGGGAGGAGGGGGGGAAGGAAGGGAGGAAGGGGGGGAAGGAAGGGAGGAGGGGGGGGAAGGAAGGGAGGAGGGGGGGGAAGGAAGGGAGGAGGGGGGGGAAGGAAGGGAGGAGGGGGGGAAGGAAGGGAGGAGGGGGGGGAAGGAAGGGAGGAGGGGGGGGAAGGAAGGGAGGAGGGGGGGGGAAGGAAGGGAGGAGGGGGGGAAGGGTGGGGGAAAGGGGGCAGGGGGAAGGGTGGGGGAAAGGGGGCAGGGGAAGGGTGGGGGAAAGGGGGCAGGGGGAAGGGTGGGGGGAAAGGGGGCAGGGGGAAGGGTGGGGGAAAGGGGCAGGGGGAAGGGTGGGGGAAAGGGGGCAGGGGAAGGGTGGGGGAAAGGGGGCAGCGGGAAGGGTGGAGGAAAGGGGGCAGGGGGGAGGGTGGGGGAAAGGGGGCAGGGGGAAGGGTGGGGGAAAGGGGGCAGGGGGGAGGGTGGGGGGATGGCTGACGGTGGAAGGGGAGAGGATGGAGCCGCGGGCTGAGACTGTGGCCATCTGGCGGCGGGGGGGGGGGGGTGGGTGAGGGGGGGGTGTTGAGGGGGGAGAGGAGGAAACGGGAGAAGGAACAGAATGGCGGAGGGTGGAAGGGGAGAGGATGGAGCTGTTGGCTGCGGCTATGGCAATCTGCTCTGCGGGGAGCGAGGAAAGGACGGGGGGAGGGAGAAGTGGCGTGAGGGAGGGGGTAAGGGGAAGAAGCAAGCGTGAAGGGAAGGAGCAAGGGTGAAGGGGAGGGGAGGAACTGGAAGGGAGGGCGGCAGGAGGAGCGAGGAATGAATGTCAGGTTCCAGGGGACAATGAGGAACGGGTTGAGAGTTGATTGAAAAGCTGACCCAATGACAGCAGCACGACCCACCTGCCCAGTCGAGATGCCGATCCCGTTCTTGCCCAGACTCTCCGCTATCCTCTTTATAAGCAGGTCCGCCAAGCTCGTCATTGAACACTGCATACTGTGGTGCGTGAGCTTGAGCTCAACCTCCAGCGGCGACACACAGGTGCAGACGTTGGACAGGGCGAGGAGAGGAGGGCTGGGCGAGTACAGGGAGGGGCAGGAGAGGTGGTCGCAGATGGGGGGCGGCTGGTACTGCATGATGTCACGCGGAGGGGAGCAGGCAGCAGTGACCTCGGGGCGGTACGGCACACAGAGATCATTGCCGTAGAGCCTGCAGGGCAGAGATGGGTGTGGGAGGCAAGCATAGGGAGAGACGTGGGAGACCAGAGAGGCACGAGCAGGCGGGAGAGGGAGAGCAGACGGGAGGTGGCTGGTACTGCATGATGTCACGAGGAGGGGAGCAGGCAGCAGTGACCTCGGGGCGGTAGGGCACACAGAGATCATTGCCGTAGAGCCTGCAGGGCAGAGATGGGTGTGGGAGGCAAGCATAGGGAGAGACGTGGGAGACCAGAGAGGCACGAGCAGGCGGGAGAGGGAGAGCAGATGGGAGGTGGCTGGTACTGCATGATGTCACGCGGAGGGGAGCAGGCAGCAGTGACCTCGGGGCGGTAGGGCACACAGAGATCATTGCCGTAGAGCCTGCAGGGCAGAGATGGGAGTGGGAGGCAAGCATAGGGAGAGACGTGGGAGACCAGAGAGGCACGAGCAGGCGGGAGGAGGGAGAGCAGATGGGAGGTGGCTGGTACTGCATGATGTCACGCGGAGGGGAGCAGGCAGCAGTGACCTCGGGGCGGTAGGGCACACAGAGATCATTGCCGTAGAGCCTGCAGGGCAGAGATGGGAGTGGGAGGCAAGCATAGGGAGAGACGTGGGAGACCAGAGAGGCACGAGCAGGCGGGAGAGGGAGAGCAGATGGGAGGTGGCTGGTACTGCATGATGTCACGCGGAGGGGAGCAGGCAGCAGTGACCTCGGGGCGGTAGGGCACACAGAGATCATTGCCGTAGAGCCTGCAGGGCAGAGATGGGAGTGGGAGGCAAGCATAGGGAGAGACGTGGGGAGACCAGAGAGGCACGAGCAGGCGGGAGAGGGAGGGCAGATGGGAGGCGGCTGGCACTGCAATATGGCGCGAGCGGGCGAGCATGCAGCGGTGACCTCAGGGCGGTAGGGCACACAGAGATCATTGCCGTAGAGCCTGCAGGGCAGAGATGGGTGTGGGAGGCAAGCACAGGGAGAGACATGGGAGACCAGAGAGGCACGAGCAGGCGGGAGAGGGAGAGCAGATGGGAGGTGGCTGGTACTGCATGATGTCACGAGGAGGAGAGCAGGCAGCGGTGACCTCGGGGCGGTAGGGCACACAGAGATCGTTGCCGTAGAGCCTGCAGGGCAGAGATGGGTGTGGGAGGCAAGCATAGGGAGAGACGTGGGAGACCAGAGAGGCACGAGCAGGCGGGAGAGGGAGAGCAGATGGGAGGTGGCTGGTACTGCATGATGTCACGAGGAGGGGAGCAGGCAGCGGTGATCTCGGGGCGGTAGGGCACACAGAGATCATTGCCGTAGATCCTGGAGGGGGGGATTGAACGGGAGGAACAGATGTGGGGGGGGGGGGAAGATGGGGGGAAGGGAGAGGGGGGGGAGGGAGATGGGGGCAGGGCGGCTGGTGGTGAGAGGTGCTCATGTGAAATGGCTTTGGTGGAGTTAGTGAGTGAGTGAGTGAGTGAGTGAGCGGCTTGAGGCGCCTCACTGCAGTATGACATTCTCATTGCTGAGCATGGCAGCATATGCCCGGGTGAAGTGAGTGAGGGAGTGTTCGCTAGTCGCAACTCACTGCAGGATGACGTTCTCGTTGCTCAGCATGGCAGCAGGCTCCCATGTGAAAGTGAAGTGGTTGTCGTAGAGGGAGTGGGTGAGATAGTGGCTGCTGTAAGCGAGTGAATGCGTGAGTGAGCAGCACTCACTGCAGGGTGACGTTCTCATTGCTGAGCAGGGCGGCAGACGCCCATGTGAAGTGGTTGTCGAAGAGGGGAGATGGTGGCGATGGCAGGAGGGTGTCCAAGAGAGGCACACGGCCCGTCAGGTTGTTGTCGGAGAGGATACTGGGGGAGAGAAGAGGGGGGAGGGGGGATGGGGGGGGTGGGGAAAGAAATAGGGTAGCAGGAGAAAGGCCAACAGGTGCCCGGGTGAAGTAGTTATCGTAGGAGGGAGGTAGTGGCGATGGCAGGCAATGTGTCCAACTGAGGCACAGGGCCCACCAGGTTGTTGTCGGATAGGATACTGGGGGAGTGTGGGGGGGGGGGGGAATGTGGGGTGGGAGAAAGGGAGGAGGAGACGCCCCAGGCGAAGTGGTTGCCTAAGAGTGAGATGGTGGCGATGGCAGGGAGGTGTCCAAGTGAGGCACAGGCCCCGTCAGTTTGTTGTCTGATGGGAGACTGGGGAAAAGAGGAGGAAGGAGAACTGTGGGGAAGAGAGGACAGCAAAAAACAAAAACAAAAAAAAAGCACGCATCTGGGCGAAATGGTTATCGGTGGCTATGGCAGGGCATGTGGTCCAATCGAGGCACAGGCCAGCCAGGTTGTTATCGGAAAGGATACGTGTGTGGGAAAGAAGAGGAGGGAAGGGCGGAAAAACAGAGAAGGCGTTGCAGGCGTGAGGCGTGGAGATGGCAGGCAGGGAGAGTGTCTAGAGAAGAGAAGTCCATGATTTGCAGGGTGTATTTTGAGAATTCTCAAAAAACACCCCGCACAATCACAGACCGCATTGCAGGCATGAGACGTGGCGATGACCGGAAGGGCATCTAGAGGGGCACAGGCCCCGTAAAGTTGTTGCCAGACAGGAGACTGGGGGAGCAATAGCGGAGGGGGGACAAAGAGCAGCAGGCGCCCGCCCAGGTGAAGTGGTTGTCAGAGAGGTGATGGTGGCGAGGGGGGTTTTCAGAGGCCGCAGAGCGGGCTGCAGGGGGGTAGCTGCTACAAGTAAGGAGCAATGAGATGCTGCTTGCATGGATACAAGGAAGAGAAAAGCTGCAGAGCGGGCTGCAGGGCGGGCTGCAGGGCGGGCTGCACTGAGGGCTGCGGGGGGGAGGGTCTCACATGGAGTGGAGCCGGGTGAGGTTGGCTGAGGCCACCACGGGAGGGAGGTAGCTGCTGAGATGGTTCCTGGCGAGATTGCTGCAGTGGGCAGAAGGGAGGGGAAAGGAGGGGAGGGGAGAGAAAGGGAGTGGAAAAGAGATGGGAGGGGATGGAGGGAGGGGAAAGGGTCAGAAAAGTCCGATAAGGAGATTGCCAATTAGATGGTTCTTGACAAGATCGCAGCAGCGTATGGGAGAGAAAACGGGGGAACTTCATCTTGCTGGGGGGGAAATGGCCTTGGGAGGGTAAACGAGGGCAGTGGGGGGATTGAAGGGAATGGAGGCGAGGAGAGGCACTTCGCAGGGAGAAAACGGGAGTGACGAAGAGCAATGCGGCGTTCCGACATGGAGAGGCAGAGAGAATGAAGCATGAAGCATGATGCAGGATGCAGGATGCAGGATGCAGGATGCAGGATGCAGGATGCAGGATGCAGGATGCAGGATGCAGGATGCAGGATGCAGGATGCAGGATGCAGGATGCAGGATGCAGGATGCAGGATGCAGGATGCAGGATGCAGGATGCAGGATGCAGGATGCAGGATGCAGGATGCAGGATGCAGGATGCAGGATGCAGGATGCAGGATGCAGGATGCAGGATGCAGGATGCAGGATGCAGGATGCAGGATGCAGGATGCAGGATGCAGGATGCAGGATGCAGGATGCAGGATGCAGGATGCAGGATGCAGGATGCAGGATGCAGGATGCAGGATGCAGGATGCAGGATGCAGGATGCAGGATGCAGGATGCAGGATGCAGGATGCAGGATGCAGGATGCAGGATGCAGGATGCAGGATGCAGGATGCAGGATGCAGGATGCAGGATGCAGGATGCAGGATGCAGGATGCAGGATGCAGGATGCAGGATGCAGGATGCAGGATGCAGGATGCAGGATGCAGGATGCAGGATGCAGGATGCAGGATGCAGGATGCAGGATGCAGGATGCAGGATGCAGGATGCAGGATGCAGGATGCAGGATGCAGGATGCAGGATGCAGGATGCAGGATGCAGGATGCAGGATGCAGGATGCAGGATGCAGGATGCAGGATGCAGGATGCAGGATGCAGGATGCAGGATGCAGGATGCAGGATGCAGGATGCAGGATGCAGGATGCAGGATGCAGGATGCAGGATGCAGGATGCAGGATGCAGGATGCAGGATGCAGGATGCAGGATGCAGGATGCAGGATGCAGGATGCAGGATGCAGGATGCAGGATGCAGGATGCAGGATGCAGGATGCAGGATGCAGGATGCAGGATGCAGGATGCAGGATGCAGGATGCAGGATGCAGGATGCAGGATGCAGGATGCAGGATGCAGGATGCAGGATGCAGGATGCAGGATGCAGGATGCAGGATGCAGGATGCAGGATGCAGGATGCAGGATGCAGGATGCAGGATGCAGGATGCAGGATGCAGGATGCAGGATGCAGGATGCAGGATGCAGGATGCAGGATGCAGGATGCAGGATGCAGGATGCAGGATGCAGGATGCAGGATGCAGGATGCAGGATGCAGGATGCAGGATGCAGGATGCAGGATGCAGGATGCAGGATGCAGGATGCAGGATGCAGGATGCAGAGATGCACGATGCACGATGCAGGATGCAGGATGCAGGATGCAGGATGCAGGATGCAGGATGCAGGATGCAGGATGCAGGATGCAGGATGCAGGATGCAGGATGCAGGATGCAGGATGCAGGATGCAGGATGCAGGATGCACGATGCACGATGCACGATGCACGATGCACGATGCACGATGCACGATGCACGATGCACGATGCACGATGCACGATGCACGATGCACGATGCACGATGCACGATGCACGATGCACGATGCACGATGCACGATGCACGATGCACGATGCACGATGCACGATGCACGATGCACGATGCACGATGCACGATGCACGATGCACGATGCACGATGCACGATGCACGATGCAGGATGCAGGATGCAGGATGCAGGATGCAGGATGCAGGATGCACGATGCACGATGCACGATGCAGGATGCACGATGCAGGATGCACGATGCAGGATGCAGGATGCAGGATGCAGGATGCAGGATGCAGGATGAAGGATGCAGGATGCAGGATGCACGATGCACGATGCAGGATGCACGATGCAGGATGCACGATGCAGGATGCAGGATGCAGGATGCAGGATGCAGGATGCAGGATGCAGGATGCAGGATGCAGGATGCAGGATGCAGGATGCAGGATGCAGGATGCAGGATGAAGGATGCAGGATGCAGGATGCACGATGCACGATGCAGGATGCACGATGCAGGATGCACGATGCAGGATGCAGGATGCAGGATGCAGGATGCATGATGCCCAGACAACACAACGCCACCTCTCACAGGGAGAACGCCTGCGAGCACAATGGACTGATCATACTGTTCTTTCTTACTCACAGGGTCACGAGCTCTGGGTGGCTGCTGAAGAGAGAAAGCGGCACTGAGCCGCGGAAGTTGTTGCGGCTCAAATCGCTGCAAGTTGCGGATGGGCCAGGGGAGAAGGCAAGGGAAGAAGGAGTAGATGGGGGCGAGGGCGAGGGATGGGAGAACAAGGTTGGGGGAGAAGAGAGGTGGGGACGCATATGGCTGCTGAGGAGAGCAATGGGCACGGAGCCTTGAAAGTCTTTGCAACTCAAATCCCTGCGAGGGGTGGACGGGCAAGGGAGGAGAGGGGAGGGACAGGGAAGAGGGGCAGGAAAAGGGTTCAAATGTCATTCCAGAAAAGGGTAAGGGAGGAGCGTACAGAGCGCTGGGGCCTGGGAGGCTCCCAAGGGATGAGAAGCAACTGAGAAGCTGCGGAATGGAACAGATGATTTAAAGGCGAGAGGGGGGAGGGAGAAGGAAGCCAAACGCACAGGTAGCGGAGAAGAAGGAAGGGGCAGACGTACAGGTAGCAGAGGGCTGGGAGGCCCGCAAGGGAGGGGAGTGGCTGAGGCGGCATGGAGCAGTTGTTCATGGACCTGCGGGCATGGAGGGGGAGGAGGAGGGGGGGGATTGAAAGGTGGACAGGCGGAAGAGAGGGATGACACGGTTGTTGAGGGCGGGGTGGAAGCGGCTGAGGTGGCATGGAGCAGTTGTTCAGAGACCTGCGGGCATGGAGGGGGCAGGAGGAGGGGGAGGAGGAGGGGGGAGGAGGAAGGGGGAGGAGGGGGGAGGAGGAAGGGGAGGAGGAGGGAAGGAGGAGGGGGAGGAGGAGGGGGAGGAGGAGGGGGAAGAGGAGAGGGGGAAGAGGAGGGGGGAGGAGGAGGGGGAGGAGGAGGGGGAGGAGGAGGACGGAGGAGGAGGGGGGAGGAGGGGGGGGATCAAAAGGTGGACAGGGGAAGAGAGGGGATGGTACGGTTGTTGACGGGGGATGGCAGTGGCTAAGGTGGCATGGACGCATGCACAGAGCGGCTGGTCATGGAGCTGTGGGCGTTTGAGTCGACTCAAAAGCAGAGCGGCTGGTCATGGACCTTTCGGCATGCACAAGAGTGGGAGCCTGCACGCATGAAGCGAGATGCTATGATTAGAAGTAGGAAAACGGCCGAACGGCGAAAGGGGGTCAGCAATATGGTTGAGGGGCGAAAATGAGTCCCCTCAAGAGTCAGTACAATGCTATCGTGGAGGGGGGAGGATGGAAAGGCTTTGGATTGAGGCATTTCGGAAGTTGTGGGGGAGAAGGGAAAGAAGGAAGCGTAGTTGTGCATTAGGGAAAGAAGTAGTGGACACAGGGAAGTGGATTTGCAGATGGGGAATACATTGCAGGGACTAACACATGCGTGAGGACAAACACATGCATGAGGACAAACACACGCGTGAGGACAAACACATGCGTGAGGACAAACACACGCGTGAGGACAAACACATGCGTGAGGACAAACACACGTGTGAGGACAAACACATGCGTGAGGACAAACACACGCGTGAGGACAAACACACGCGTGAGGACAAACACACGCGTGAGGACAAACACACGCGTGAGGACAAACACACGCGTGAGGACAAACACACGCGTGAGGACAAACACACGCGTGAGGACAAACACACGCGTGAGGACAAACACACGCGTGAGGACAAACACACGCGTGAGGACAAACACACGCGTGAGGACAAACACACGCGTGAGGACAAACACACGCGTGAGGACAAACACACGCGTGAGGACAAACACACGCGTGAGGACAAACACACGCGTGAGGACAAACACACGCGTGAGGACAAACACACGCGTGAGGACAAACACACGCGTGAGGACAAACACACGCGTGAGGAATGAGAGAGCTCCAATATCAATCAACTGTATGGATGATCTTGTGCGAAAAGGTGCACAGGTCTTGCAATGTAGTGCGTGTGAAGGGGAATTATGCACGGGGGAAGCATGCATGAAGGGGGAAGAGCGCTCACAGGTCTTGCAATGTAGTGCGTGTGATGGGGGGAAGCACGCATGACGGGGGGAGAACGCTCACAGGTCTTGCAGTTGCGGGAGGTCGAGAGTCGGTGGTAGGCGGCCCTGAATGGTGTTGTTGCTCAGATGGCTGCCACGTGGCAAGCAGAGATTGGGGGACAGGAGGGGTACGAACGAAGGACATATTGGTATGAGTGCTACCCTCTTGAAATAATCTCAAAAAGAGCATCCTTATTCCCTCTCTCACATGCACAAAACTACCTCCATCAGCACCATCTCCATTACACTTTATCCACGATATAAATATCTCATCATAAATGTCTGTCAGGTCAGTCATAGGATAATCCCCACTACTCACATGATCTCGAGGCTCCTGGAGCCACTGAGCCCTGCTGGAAAGGTCTGGTTCAGCCGGTTGTTGTCCATGAGGCTGGTGAGGGGGGGGGGGGAGGGGGGGGGGGGGGGGGGGGGGGGTAAGGGCAGGGGGGCACCAGGGTGAGAGGGGGATATGAGGCGACTTTTGAGGTGCCTCTAAACGGAACTGGCCCAAAAGGGGGGCACCAGGGTGAGAGGGGGATATGAGGCGACTTTTGAGGCGCCTCTAAACGGAACTGGCCCAAAAGGGGGGAACCAGGGTGAGAGGGGGATATGAGGCGCCCCCACAGAACTGGCCCCGGCTGGAAAGATCTTGTTCAAGCGGCTGTTGTCCATGAGTCCAATGGAGTAGGGGAAGGGAGAAGGGAAGACGAAGGAGGAAGTTGAGGGAGAGGGTGAGGCAGGTGAAGGGAGATGAATGAGGACCCCTTGAATTGGAGGTGTTGAGGCGCCTCAACAGAACTGGCCCCGACCGGAAAGGTCTTGTTCTTGCTGACTGTGATGGGGAGAAGGGGGGGGAAGGTTGGGGAGGTGCGAATTGATGGTGGGGAGGGGGAGGGAGGAGGGAGGAGAGGAGAATGGAGGGGTGGAGGGGAGAGGGTATACGTGATACGGTGCACCGAGCCTGTCTAAAGAGCACGAGAGGATGGGTGCTGTCCATAGGGATGGGTGCTGTCCATAGGGATGGGTGTCTGGCTGTCTGGCTGTCTGGCTGTCTGGCTGTCTGGCTGTCTGGCTGTCTGGCTGTCTGCCTGTCTGCCTGTCTGCCTGTCTGCCTGTCTGCCTGTCTGCCTGTCTGCCTGTCTGCCTGTCTGCCTGTCTGCCTGTCTGCCTGTCTGCCTGTCTGCCTGTCTGCCTGTCTGCCTGTCTGCCTGTCTGCCTGTCTGCCTGTCTGCCTGTCTGCCTGTCTGCCTGTCTGCCTGTCTGCCTGTCTGCCTGTCTGCCTGTCTGCCTGTCTGCCTGTCTGCCTGTCTGCCTGTCTGCCTGTCTGCCTGTCTGCCTGTCTGCCTGTCTGCCTGTCTGCCTGTCTGCCTGTCTGCCTGTCTGCCTGTCTGCCTGTCTGCCTGTCTGCCTGTCTGCCTGTCTGCCTGTCTGCCTGTCTGCCTGTCTGCCTGTCTGCCTGTCTGCCTGTCTGCCTGTCTGCCTGTCTGCCTGTCTGCCTGTCTGCCTGTCTGCCTGTCTGCCTGTCTGCCTGTCTGCCTGTCTGCCTGTCTGCCTGTCTGCCTGTCTGCCTGTCTGCCTGTCTGCCTGTCTGCCTGTCTGCCTGTCTGCCTGTCTGCCTGTCTGCCTGTCTGCCTGTCTGCCTGTCTGCCTGTCTGCCTGTCTGTCTGTCTGTCTGTTTGTTTGTTTGTCTGTTTCTCTGTTTGTCTGTTTGTCTGTTTGTCTGTTTGTTTGTCTGTTTGTCTGTTTGTCTGTTTGTGAGGCGCCAAAAGAAAATACGAAGACGAAGAAGAAACCGTACAGGTGGATGAGCTTGGGAAGTCGTCCCAGTTCTCCTGGGAGCCATGTGAGCTGGTTGCGACTCAGGTGACTGGCAAAGGGAGGGGGTTACGAGCCCGGGGGGAAGACAGGACACAACACGGGAGGAGCACAAGCGGGGAGTCAGAGGAAAGCTTTTGCAGTCGTCCCAATTCTGCTGGGAGCCATGATAGGCGGTTGCGACTCAGGTGACTGGCAGGGACAGAGGCACACGAGACAGGGGCACACGAGAAGGCATTCAATGGGGCAAGCAAAGGCAAAAGGGAGTCAGGAGAATAGAAGGGAGTCAGAGGAAAGCTTTGGCAGTCGCGAAAGAGCGCCGAGTGGGTGAAAAAGGGGGTGGCGAGGGGAATGCGGCACATGGCAGGTTTTGAGGCGCCTCTAAACGTGGTGAGGGCAGCGAGGGGAATGCGGCACATGGCAGGTTTTGAGGCGCCTCTAAAC